CGGTCCACCAATCACTCAAGAACTACATGTGCGAGATTCACTCCATGGTCGTGGAAGGCAACAAGGCATACTGTCGCCTCCGTCATTATGGAGAACACACCAAGCGTCCCATTATGGGATTAGAGCCCACCGGTCGTGAGGTTTCCTGGACCGGTGCCATGGAGTTTACTCTGTCTTCAGAAACAGGAAAGATCCAAACCGTTTGGGAACTCGGTGACATGAATCTCAAAGCCGTATTGGAAGAGAATGCCACCATGCAGCAGCGGCAATATTTTGGTGACAACCAAAACAATATCAACATCAATGGAGACGACAGTGTCGCAACGGCTCAGGCCTTCCCGGCGTCGGATGTGGGGAGTGTCGATGACATTGGCTCTGTAGCTGCCGTCGTTGCTCAAACAAGGGAGCATGTCGATGACATTAGCTCGGTAGCTGCCGTTGTTGCCCCGGCTGCAGCTGCGAGGGAGCCTCAGGCTTTTGCCAGGAGACATTCGTCGTTGTGTCGCCCCGTCAACAGGGCCCGAGTCCTGGGGTTTCTCAAGAACGTCACGACCATCCCAGTCGCTGAGGTTACCACTGCCGAGTGCGAGTGGGTGCAACAACCCGGTAGGTGCGACCCACCCAGCAACACGGAAGAGGCGTCGGAGGATCCTCCTGGCACCTTGGAAGAGGATGAATATGCCGAAGAGGACGCGAGCCAGGCAGATAGCGTTCCTTCCCTCGTAGAGTCCGTTGGCTTGGAGCCCCCAATGTTGATACACGGCAGCGCCACCGGGCAACACCACGAAGGCAGCCATGATGCTGAGGATGCCAGCGAATATGACACAGAAACCAACGTTCATGTCGTGGCAGAGGAACAGCCAGAACATTTCGATATTGGCGGAGGAGAAACCCAACGTTCCGATCCGCCGTCCGAAACGGAGTCTACAGTCGATGACCAGTCTGCAGTCGATGATCAGACTGACGTCGAAGCCGAGGACGCAGATACAAAGGACAACAACGAAGAAGAAGGCGAGGCTGAGGAACCTGGCGAATCGAACGACCCCACCACCACGGACGACTGGACGCACGACATGCCAGTTGCGCCAGAAGAAGACGAAACCGAGCAACCTGATGATGCGTCTCATCCCCACGAGTCCAATGCCACAGTGGATCGAATCCAGGAATTACAGACCACATCGGAAGAAATCTTGGGCGAGGAAGTCATTCCAATGCTGAAAGAGTGCATGAAGAAGGTTGATGGCTTTAATGACCGTCGCAATGGAGCATTGATCCACCTTAAGGACGACCTCCAAGCCCAGGCTTCGCAAATGGAGGAGTGGCACAAGACGGTTCTCGACGGCATCTGTTTGCAGACCAAGACGCTCCAGAAAAGCATGCACGAACGGACTAGCAAGATCACGTCACGTATCTTCAGTCTGGAATCCTTTTGTCGCGACTTGCAAAATAGAAAGGATGCCGACCAACAGATGCGGATGATCGCCAACCTACAGGCAGAGCAGGCTAAGCTTCGAAACGATATCAAAACCCTCCTTAAAGCCATGGTCACGCATGTCAACAAAGATGACGATGACGACAGTTCTTCTGGAGAATCTTCGTCCTCGTCTTCTTCCTCGTCCTCCGGTTGGTCTTCCCACAGCGATGGAAGCATCCCGAGCGACGTGACTATATATCCCCCCAGGGAGCCCAAAGCAATGCCAGCGAAGAACACAGAAAGGAAACCGGCCAAGACGGCGACAAAGACCGGAGCAAAGCAGGCGTCAAAGACAGCGAAAAAGACTGAAGGAAAGCCCAGCGCTAAGCCGGCACCAAAACCAGCAAAGGCCTCTTCCGCGAGGAAACTGGCAATGCCGGAAGACTCGGAGAGAAGCCTCTGCTCCACGGTTGACTCCCTCATTCTTTACGGATTTCATGACGAAACCGATGGCGAAGCCGCAGATGCCGTTGCAAAAATGATGGATGCCGCCAAGGCCAAAGCTGCCGCCAACACGCGAAAGGGGGCTGCCAAGTTCACCGGCAAGAGCAGGAACTTCAAGACCATCGACAAGAAAACCCTTGAAGATTTCCGTAGTGCGATTCGCCGTGAAAGCAAAAGAGCACGAAGCACGAGATTTGCTACAACCCGTGTCGTCCCCCAGAAAACTGTCAAGGGTGCTTGGGGGACTGAGTGAGAAGAATACGAGCGATAGTAGAATTTGAGATGTCCTTGTCGTCCTTATCATAACTGTGTCTCTGATAGTAAGATTTGACTATCTGGCTCTTCCTGTCTTCTGCGTGCCTGCTGATTTTGAAACGCACTTAGATGGTGGAATTCTCGCTGACTCCCCAAAGCCGCGACTCATCGCGCACAGATTATGATTTTTTAAAAGAAATCTGAGGGGGGGTTTATAGAGTAGGTATAATATTATGGAAGCCAGCTGGGGCCAGGCTCAAGCAAAGAGGAGGCGAAATTCAGGACTAGGTTCCATGGGATCGGGGGGCGATAAATTGAGGACAAACACGGGGGCAAAAGGGTTTGGCTTTTCAGGATCCACAGAGACATAAATGAGTAGCTTTCATGGGATGGAATCTTCACACCCGAAGCTGAGTTTCATCCTTCTTCTCAGAAGTATCCCGAGTACGTTGCTCATTCCCAGAGCTACGTTGCGCAGAGCCACCATCGGTTTGTGGCTGAAGTGCCCTCGCCAGCAAAGATTCTTCCATCGTCTTTCTCGATTCCCCACTAATTGATGATCGTGATACAATGGATGTCCCTCCTGTACTGAGTGCCATGGATGGTGTTACATCAACGAAATACGTCTGCATTTCTCCTTTGCCTTTTGCCATGATCGTGTCGTCTCTTGCAGTAAGCCAGTGCCCCTTCCCTTGAGCCGTAATGGCATGGGCAGTTTCGGCCGAAACGTGAATCTTCCCCTTGACTCCGTTGCTTTCCATTCGACTGGCAGTGTTGATGGTCTGAAGAGGAGAACGAATCAATGAGTGGAGGAGCAAACCAGTGTGACGATCCGGGTACAAAGCATATCCCACGGTGCTTCACCTACATCGCCGAACAATTGAAAGCGACCCTTCTCCCCGCGTAGAACTCCGGCTGTTGTCGAACCAGAATGCATTCCCACTCTCATTTTCAATTCCTGTGAAAACAGCGAAGTGTTTAGAAGAGTGAAAGCACCACATCTGTCATGACGGCCTGGCAGATTCGTCTTACCGTCGTATCCTCGCCCAGAGACTCCGCCAACTCATGTGTCACCAGCTCCATCTCCGCGATGCAATCTTGAGCGAATCTGGACGAAGAGCAGGGATTCAAGTTGGTTATAGAGTGAAGCTGATTCCTTCGTATGACGCAATCATCTGAACACTGAGCAACGATGAATGCATCCATCGTGGATACTAACCTGACCATGATGACAGCATGCTTTGCCTGAGGCTCGGGAATTCCAGTCACTGAACAAGCGACATGGGATGTGAGCGGCATTCTGTCATGGACAGTGAAACACAATTCCTGCACGTACCTGCAACGTAGCAATCGCCAATCTTGAATCGAACCACGTGCAAGGTCAGGAAGCGGTAGCTATACAAAGAAATGAAAAGAAATAAAAACCCAAGCTTCACTCACCGTTTCGATTTTGAAGACCATTCTACGTGCCGCGACCTTATCAAAGCTCCCGTACAAGGCCTCGAGGAGTTCAAACACTTCTACAGGTGTTCTCTTGGAACTCCAGGCTGGTGTGGGCACGAGCAACACACATACGTAAGTGAGCCATTCGTTCCTTGGCGACAGACGTCCACTCAAAACGAGCATGCACTAACTTACCAGTGAACCCTGCTAGATCTGCCATGAAGATTGTCTGCATTGGATCGTACACCATATTCATGTGTGAGAAACGGAGATCAAAGTGGCTGGACGGAAAGACCCACTAGCTAGACGTACCGTGTTATGGAATAGATCCGCCAAGGGTTTGGAGTGTTTTGTGGAAGCCCTGACATCGAGAGGACTTGTAGTATCCTGAGACATGAACTGCATGATGGATTGCTCCTTTTTCTGTTCTTGCTTTTGTTCCTCGTAGAGTTGTTTCTTGACCTTTTCAGGGAACAAGGAGCTGACAATCGCACCAGATGCCAATGCTTGTTCCATGACAATTCGCTGTCTTCGTGCCACGGTACAATCATAGAGGATCATGACGGTGGATGTAAAGATGAAAATGAAGAGTGCTGCCAGTGTGAACACGAGTGGATCACTCGTGACATACTTGTCTTGCGTGGCTTTGGATGGATAAATGTGAACTGTCTGTGGACAAAAGGTGGTGGATAGTGGTACTCCAGTGTAACTGCTTCCATCTTTGGATTGTTTGGTGGTTTCCATCGTGTCATAGAGAGACGCATTCACGGCCATGTGATCGTAGGCAGTGTCGTGTAAATCGCCCGACCCGAGAAAGATGGCGTCCTCGCCATCGAGCCGCATGGTCCATGGAACATTGCAGGGATTGGTAACGACAACGATGATTCCCGTGGAATCGGAAGGGAGTAGTCCAAGAAGCATGTTTTTCCATTCAAAAAAGAACATGAGATTGCCCACGACCTTGTGTTCTTGAGTACGGTCGAGACGGATGGAATCGAGCGAGTCGACACTGTACCGGTAGGAAACGAGCATGGATATAGGTAGGAACCATCAGATATTGATGATCAGTCCACATAACTACTATATGCGAGGTACTGTACTGTAGGTACTTACATTGGGTAAAACATGGCTGCGGTAGGTGCAATCTCTTCTCCTGGTTGGAAATCGACGTATTGCTTTGTTTCGGTGTCGATAGTTTGTTTTCTGAAAAGTTCAAAGGTATCTGACTCGTTCATGACGAGGTTTGCTGCGGGCAATAGTGCTGCGACATAGTTGGTGACGGCATCCAAGTTGGCGATGGGTGCCCTCCCAGGCATGGTCCAGGCATCCCAGTTGACCAGGGTGGGATTATTTCCAACTTGTTCCACGGTGGGATACCGTTGCCACATGGGTTGGTCTTTTTAATAATTGGAAGGCAGGTAAGGTATGATATGATAAGAGAAGGTACAAGTCAAGACAAGATAGACAATAGAAGGTACAAGATATATGCATAGACAAGCCAACACACTTACAATTGTTGAGATATTCCTTTGGTTCCTTCATTGGCTTTCGGCCCAAACCCCCATAAATTTCCTTGCTAGTTCTGCTGGTAAAGTTTGTGTCTCTGGTCCAATCTTCATTTTGCTGTTGGTACAGTTTGTTTAGCTCTACCCATTCCAAGTTTTTGGCTGCATAGTCTTCCCATTCCGCCTTTTGTTCTGGTTCTACCAAGACTGTGACAACAGCTACAAAGGCTTTGCTCAGTTTGAGGAGTTTTCCCGCATGAAGCCCAAAGTTTGGAAGTGTGACGAAAGGCCAGGTGCTGTTGGAAGCACGGGCATACGCCACTAGTTGCTTGGTAAAGACATCTGTGCTCCCAATGTCTGATCCCATGTCTTGCCCACACTCTCCAGCACTTTGTCGGCATCACTGGCAAACCGTTGTTCAAACTCGTCTTGCTCGGCACCACTCATGTACCGATAGGTAAACACTACCACAACGGCAGCGGACGCCACCAGCACCAGTACTACCAGCAGTCGCAGGCAAAAGACCGCCTTGGATTCCTTCTGAGCAATCTTTTCTCGTTTTTCCTTTGTCAAGCCAACATTCTCGTCGTCGTCGTCGTCGTCAAAGCCACTTTCACTGTCATGATCATGCTCCACAACCATATGGTCGTCCTCCATGGTGGGGTGCTTCATGGGCTGCTTCATGGTGGGGGGCGGAGATGGAGTTGTCATGGTACTATGGTACTAGTACTGGTATGGACTTTTTTAAAATAGGAAGTGTTTTGTGAATTATGTCAATAGAGACCCACCTGGAAGCAGGTGCTAGCTAGATAGCTAGTAGCTACATATATATAGATTACTATGGAATTACACTAGTAGGGGGGGTAAGTGACTAAGTGATACCGGCTTGAAGGTAGTGGGGGAAGGGATCAAGGGGTGCATTGAAATGGAAGAGGCCAGCCAGGGGGTCTGCAGGGGTAGTTCCTGAGGAGTAGAGTGTAGAGGAGGCAGTGGCAATAGATCTAAGGATGTGGTTCCCAAGGTGAGTGGACAAATTGAGTGCCAGGGAATGGTGAGCCCACCTGGAGGGGGAGAGTGGGGTGATTGTGGTATCCAGATTGGGGGGAGGGGTGTATACTACAAGACCGAGTTGGAAAAGTGCAGCAGCCAGTTGACCTCTGTTCGCTTCTTCTGCTGCTTTCCACTTGGTCATAGCCCTGCATGACATTCCTTGCAGCATTGGGGCCCCACCAACTGCTTGCGGTGCGGTTAAGGTCCCCCCAATGATCTGTTTGTACTCCTTTCTATTTGGGGGTCAAAGGATTGATCCTGAATTTTTGGTACCAGGTACCGTAGCTCACGGTACAGGGTATAGATGACTGCACGTCGACAAACACAGAAAGAGTGTTCTCTTGTATTGCCCACCACCTGCTTGCAGTGGTTCAGGGTAAACAGTGTCCTTAAAACTCATCTGGTTTCATCAAATGGTATATGCCGAAAAATGTCTTTCAAGGATCACTGTCGGCTTGAGTACAATCCAATTACAATAATGACCAGAACATTCAAGTCATAACAAGGAAAGTGACTGTACAGCTTCTCTTCAACGACGAGGAACGCGAACGGGTTGCACTAATCCGTGAGGTGTGTGGTCTAGAGACTGAGTCGAGACAGCTCTGAGTCACTCCAGACGAACCACCAAAAAGCCAGCGCATGATGAGAGCTTGCCGAGGATCCAGACAAAGTGACGACAATTAGACTAACTAAACTGTACGTTGCACCGTCAGGTGGAGAGGAGAAGGGTGCGGGCTCATGACATGATGGTGGTGGTATACTGACACTTCCGCGACCTAGACGCAGGGCACGAGGTGATTTTAATATCCCGTACGGCACCGGTACGGTCGGCACCGCACGGCCACGAATGGTTGCTTCAAAGTCGAATGACACCATGACAAATTTAATAAAATATTTCGTCCACATTGTCCCGAGGTTTCCGATCAAGCCGTCGCCACAGCACAAATCTTGTCCGCTGCGCGTTTTCCGTGATCGTCCAATGCTCCCAGCGAAGTGTGATTGGCTGGCGCTTCATGTGAGCCATGATTCGATTCTATTCGATTCGATAAAAATTAAATCGAATCAATCATATCAATCGAATCAATCAATCGGTGACTGGATTGAATCGAATCATTCGACTGGCACCGAGCAGTCTCTTCACTCGCGGATTGTGAAACAATCCAACCAGGAGGCATGTCCTGAGCAACGCAAAAGACATAGGCAAGAAGCTAACAGCATCGAAGTGCTCGGCAAGCAAGATCTGCCAGGAAGCAATTTCTGCTAGCTAGCTGGGGTTCTATACGTAGTTTTGCCGAGGCTTGCTGAATTTTCGAAGCTCCCTTTGCATTGCCCTACTAGCTACTAGCTAGGTGCAAGCAATGCACCAAGCAAGTTTTCGAGATGCATGTACAAGAGTCCTTCCAGCCAGTCAGACGAGCAGCAAGATCCTCCAGGTTCCTCGAAAGCACCCAATAGAAGAGAATGATTCTCTTCTATTGGGATTGAATCGAATGGACATGCCAAGATGAATCATGGATAAGGAAGCTGTGCTGGCAGCTGTGCTGGTAGACGAGAAGAAGGTTCAAAGAAGCTTGAGGCTAAAGAAGGCTTGCTTGCTTGTTGCGTTGAGCCTGTCACCAGTTTGTTGCTTGCTGGCTGGCCAAGCAAAGTGAAACCGTCCGCTATGAGCAGGGGCATCAGGGGGAGATGAGCAACTAGCCACCACGTCAGGCCCTCCTGATGTGCTCCAGCGACGCTACTAGAAATTTAACGACAAGCAAGATTTCACTGAGCAATATGAGTTCCGATTTCTGCAGCCAGAGTGCTACGAGACGAGGAAGCTTTCTTCTTTGCGAACTCTGAAGGCAACGTTTGAGCACTGGCTGACAGTGCAAGGCTGCATGTCAGTGTTGGCTGCTTTTGTCTCAGCAACGAAAGGTTTGGCAATTTGGCTTGACCGGCCGTACAAGCAAGCAACGGCGTGGCTCTTTTGTCTTTTATTAAAAGCTAAAAGTAGACTACATGTACATCATGACTACATGAAGTACTGGTGGGAAAGCAGCTGACTATCTACATGTAGCCAGCTCAGAGCCAAGACAAAAGATACGTAAAAGAGAAAAGAGCAGCCGTACACGTAAAGAGCTCGTAAAAGCTTGTCAAGAAGGCATGGGAGCATTCCCACGGAGCACGGTGCATCATCAAAGCGAACACAAGTTGAGAGGATTAGACTGAATGAAGTAAACCTCGGCAGTCTTGCTGCCAGAGCCCTCAACCCCTTTAATTGTTTTTCCTGCTACGGTGGTCCCTGCAGGTATAAGGGTAGGGTTAGAATACAAATAAGTCAGCAAAAACTAAATAAGTATCCTAGGATGGTGCTTTTAAACCAGCCAAAGCTATTTACATGCTTCCTAGTAGGGGGATCTGCTCCTACCAAGAAAAACTCTAAAGCTAGCAAAAGCTATAAAACTAGTATTCTAGCTAGCTAGGGGTATCTGCTTCTAGCTTGCTATGGGAGTCTGCTTCTAGCTGGGGGGATCTGCTTCTAGCTAGCTAAGCGCAAGTTAAGCACTAGCTAAGCACTACAGGTATCTGCTTCTAGCTAGCTAGCTGTAGGGATATCTGCTTCTACTGAAACATTTCTGCCGAGGTTACACAGCTCCGCTGGCTTAATTTTACTTCACTGTGTTCCTGATGTTATTGTACTCTCTGCAGGCACTCGGGAATCAATCATTCAAAGTTTAAGGATCCACTCAAAATCAACCCTACAGTGTACCATATAGCAAACTGTGTACTGGAGTAAGCAGAGTACCACTGGAAGGTCCCGCAAATAATGAAATAGTTTAATTATAATGAATGCTTGATTAATGTGTTTAATGGTGATGAATGGTGATGAATTCATCACCAGTTTGTTGAATGGTGATGAATGGTGATGAAAATGATTTATTCGTGATGACTGGTGATGAATCGTGATGAAAAATACTACTGTTTTACTATAGAGATAATGAATGGTGATGAATGGTGATGAAAATGATGAAACCGTGATGAAATGTGATGAATGGTGATGAATTCATCACCAATGTGTTGAATGGTGATGAATGGTGATGAAAATATTTAATTAGTGATGAATTCAATTCCAGATTTTCATGTTTCGCACTTCGCAGGACCTTCCTGTAAGACAATAAGTGACAATGGTGTTTTTGACCATTCAAAGAGAAGAACGATGGCTTAAACTTCGGTATTGGGCTTCGTTACCATAGCTCTATCATTGACCATTGACTAAATAAACGATGTTACAATCATCTGGCTGGTGGACGGGTGAATTAAAGGTCTTTCAGCCAAACCGGGACAGGCGTCTCGGTTGAACACACAAGAAAAGCCCAGAAGCTGCTCGGAGTAGAATTCACTTATGGATAATGGCCTAAAAACATCTTCGTAAGAAAGAGCACTCACTAGGTTTGACTGGTTGCTAACCGTTGGTACGAGTACCGGTACAAGAAACAAGCTGGTTTGTGCTGGATATCTTTCATTTCAGATGCATCAGCTTACGCATCCCAACATGCAACCTTGCCATAACGTAACCACCAGCCGCAGTTGCTATTATTATTATCAACTAACAATAACATATTATTGTCCGCGACTGTCGCTTCATCAGGAACACTTGTTTTGCTCACAACTTTTTCATTCTCCAGTTTTTGCAAGTGCATTTTTCGTATCAATCAGAAAGTTGAATAAAACTAAATATATTCAAGATGGACCCTACCAAGCTCCCCTCGCGCCACCGTGTCTCCAAGAAGCAATGCCCTAGTACTCGATCATCTCGTCGTGGTGGTGGCTCCTCCCGGTCGGTTCGCAGTGGCTCTACTCGAGATCGGTCTCTTCGAAGTGGAGATCGCAGTGTGACCAGTGCTCTCTTTCACCAGCAAGATGACGGTAACCTTTCATTGTATGCTTTTTCTACGGCTCCTGAAGACGACTTCAATAACCAGACGACTCTCTATCAAGAAGATCAGACCATCCAAGAAGATAAAGACTTTGATGGTCATGTCCCCCCAGTGGCAATGGTGAACTTTCATGACTGGGACAGTGCTTGTGCCAGTTTGTACACGGTGGACGATGAATCGATCTATACAACGCTGGATCAGCAGCAGCGCATTGTCTTTGAGGGACTTCCCAAGGAGTTCACGGCATTGGCTGCTCCTGATAAAGCCAGTGCTGCCGTGTTGGAGACCATGAACAAGGAACAGCTCATGTTCATGGTATCTGCATTGATGGCTTCCAGTGGCAGCAGTCAAGGAAGCAAACAGGAAGGACCGTCACCAACAAGACCGCCTCAGACTGCTCCAGCGGATCAGCCCAAGGAAATCGAGGTTGGCGTCCTCCTTCCTCCGTGGATGGCAAGTAACCAAGCTCCGTCTTCGCCTCCTCGACCACCAACCTTTTCTGCTCCCAAGGTCAAGAAGTCTCAGCAGCAACCGCCAACTCAGACCACCAAGCAGACTGTCCCCGCTTCTCCTCCTGCTTCTCCACAGAAGAAGGTGTCATCTGTTCGTCCCTCTTCTCCGTCCAAGAAGAAGCAGCAGCAGCCAGTCGTCAAGCCCGTCGTCCACCATCCTCCACAGACGACGATTCGACTGGTTCCCATTCCAGAAAACAGCCAGGATCAGTGGGATCATCCAACGAAACCACCACAGGATAAGGACGAAGGTGCTGGCAAACGCCGTTGGCTGTTTTGGAAGTCCAAGAAGCCAAGCAGTAAGACTGACAGGAATAATGTCAAACCCCTTCTCTACACTGCATCGACCAGTCCAGGAACGTTTCTCAAGGGAGCACCCGGGTCGGTACATGCCGCCAATGCCACGTGGGATTCCAACTACTACGATACATCGTCCAGTTCCACCATTTCCATGACGGAGCATTCCATGGATTCCTCCGACCATCGACCCGTCTTGGTCGAGTCCAAGCCGCACAAACCTGCTGCCACCAGTAGTAGGCATCATGCACCCAAACCCATTCTCAAGACGGCTGATACCGGTACTACAAGACAGCCCATGCCACAGAAAATCGTCAGGGAGGCAGAATGTTAAGCTATATACTAGCTAGTATACGTGAACTGTAAACAATAATAACAAAGCTACCGGTATTGATTCTTTCGTCCGTGTGTATTTGAAAATAAAAGGGAAGTACAAACTATTCTAGCTAGTTAACGTGCGACATGCAGTGTATTGCTTGCGGACTCGACTCGGTTCCTTGCTGTTTTCTTCTATTAGCTAGCTACCAAACTGCAGTCGATGGCCACTCGTCAACTAGTAACTGACGTGGCTCGCGAAGCTTGCCATGCACAGCAAGAAAGACGTACAGTTGCAAACGAACGAACCACAAAGGACCAAACCATAACGGGCCAAAACGCAGTGGGCAGCCCTTGTCCAGTGCCCATTTCACCACCCCCCAATGCGCGCCTTTGAGAGCCCAGTAGATTGTATCAAAATTCCAAGGACAGCCATTATCATGAGCATATTTCAGCACGTCCCAATGGCCATCCACAGCAGCACTAGAGCAAGTTGTCTGATCCCAAGGACAGCCATGTTCGTGTGCATATTGAAGAACACCATAGTGGCCCATCCTTGCAGCCGCAGCACATGTTGCAGCATCCCAAGGACAGCCATGCTCGTATACGTACATCAATATATTCAAATGTCCCCCCAATGCAGCAAATGCACATGTGTTGGTGTCCCACGAGCAGCCATTTTCATGGGCCCATTTCAAAATGTCAAAATGGCCACCATAAGAAGCCGAAGAACACAAATTGGAATCCCATGGACAACCATGCTCCCTCATCCATTGGAGTATCTCCAACTGACCGGTTCTAGCTGCCGCTTGGCATGCATAGGCATCCCACGGGCAGCCATTCTCATGAGCCCATTTCAATACTTCCCAATGTCCTCCATAAGCAGCAAATGCGCAGGTGTTGGAATCCCATGGGCAGCCACTTGCTCTTGCCCACTGGAGTAATTCCAAATGACCACCCTGAGCCGCCCTGGCACAAGTCCATGCATCCCATGGACAGCCATTCTCTCTGGCCCACTGTATCATTTCCAAATACCCACTCCTGGCAGCCTGAGAACATGTATTCTCATTCCAAGGACAGCTGTGAGAATGGGCCCATTTCAATATTTCCCAGTGCCCCCCTTTGGCAGCCTTGGCACATGTATGGACATCCCACGGGCAGCCATTTTGATGCGCCCATTCTAATATCTCAAAATGTCCCTCCCGAGCAGCTCCAGAACACGTATGATTGTTCCATGGGCAGCCATTTTCTCGGGCCCACTGGAGCAACTCCATTTGTCCTCTCCTCGCAGCCTCGGCACACGTCCCTCCATCCCACGCAAATCCCTTTTTTCGTGCCCATTTCATGACGGGAAGACTCCCCAGTTTGGCAATTTTCTTGCATATCGAATGATCCATCAGTTGTTGACTGCTGAGAGTGTCCATATCCCAGTACTCGGCACACGAAGCAGAATAGAAAACGGCACTGTAAAAGGTATCACTGGCCGTGGCAGAGCGTGTTTTGGTAAACGGAAATACGCTAATGCTTCGTCGGTTGTGGACTTGAATCAGAGGGGGATTCGCACGTACAGTCTCACTATTACAGTATTGCTGGTACAGTCGATGGAACCGTTTGTTCACTGCTCCAACAAAGGCGTAGTGGCCCATGCCAACGAACGGAAGGATGTGGTCAACCCAAACGTCCTCCTGCTCCAACAGCCGCCCGAAAATTATACTTGCCGGACTAGGCTGCTCTCGTTGTTTGGGCATGCAAAACATGGCGTTGCAGTAAAAGTAAGTAGACTAAGCTTGTTGATAATTGCAATAAAGGAAGTAGACTCTGCGTTTAGCACAACAGCAAAGGACTAGCTAGCTAGCTAACGTTCTACTTGGCCATTGTCTTTCTGTGTGGCTGCTGTTCTGCTGTTGCTCCTTCCTGTTGTGCTGCGGCGCTCCATTTTGTTCGGGATCATCTTCGCCAAGGTGCGTGTTCGCAATGTGTCGTCGCGTGATCACATGACAGAAGTGACGGAACGTGGGTTCATTCGAATCAATACAAGTACCGGTACAGCACATGATGTAAAAGCGCCAACAGAGCGGAAGCCCCTGAAAAATTCTATTCGCGATCTTTAGAAAAACTTGAAGCATGCCAACAAGCATACTAGTACAGGGCGATCTTTGCAAAGCAACCGGCGCAACAGCTGTCCTCTTCACCTCTTCCTTTGCCATGGATCGACTCGACTCCATTCCCCACAGTCCACTCTACTGAGTAAACCATATCGGCAGTTGTGACGCTTCGGACTGCCACAACAGGCCACTCTACAGTACACACATCTACTAGCTCGTAATCCCATTGTGAGAGAGATGGAAGAAGACAACGCTGATGCCAATGAACATCATGGCGATGCTCAAGGTGACATGGGTACCTCAACTAGAAACGTTGATCATCAACCAGACCAGCTCGACGACGACTCGGCAGTAATGGATACCCTCGTCAACCGAGCAGAGGCAGAAGCCGCACAGCAGTACCATGACGAAGCACAGCAGTACAGAGATAAAGAATCTAATGCCAAAAAAGCTCAAGTAGAAGACAAGACACCTGCTACTTCTGGTTCTACTACCCGTACTAGAAGCACAAACAAAGCCAGGGAAGAAGACGACGAAGAAGCAGGCACAGAAATCATGGAGATTTTGGGAGAACAAGCTGAACTGGCAATGGCGGAGCATGTACAAGAAAAACAAGAAGACCTCAAGCAAGCATGCAAGACCACTCCTGGCCAAAACCCCATACGCGCCAATATGAGGTTCCTTCCAACAAAATCACCAGAGGCATTCGACACCACTCCCAATCAACACCTCTTGCAGACCGCAGCAGAAATCGATAAAAGTGCCAAAATGGAAAAGCGGACCAAGAACGCGCACGAGGCAACAGAAAGAGAAACAGTGCCACCGGGAAACACTCAACGAGGAGAAACAATCCAGCAAACCACGCAGCGCCGGACAAGCCAACCGTCATCCCGACCAGGAGCGCCAGAAGAAGCCTTGCTGCAACCAATGAATACACCTACCAATCATCAAGCTTTATTGAATGATCTAGTGGAACGGATTGAGCCAATCCCAATGGCGCCTACATCATTGAGCCGAGGATCCAACCACCGGCCGCAATGTCGCCCTGGAGCCTATATGGGCATTGGTGCAACCTTGCAGCGTGTACAAAGCCTCGATTTTGACCTTTTGGGTAGCAACAACATCGACGAAACTGAACCGGTCGATTCCTCTTCAGCTGCACTCCACCACGTGTTGGACCCAACTCTATTTCCCAATCAAGCAATGCGATCGGGCGTTACCATGGACCATTTGGCAGTGGCTCACCGAGTCACGAACAACACAGAAGATTTAATGCATGCAGATCCCGTGCATTTGGAGGAACAAGAGAAAAGGAAACAAGAAGCAAAAAAACGGAGTCAAACGTTCCTCTTTATGCTGTTTCTGGTAGTCTGTGCTGTGGCTGTCATTATAGGGACGGTGGCTGGCACTGCTGGAAAGGACGATAAAGTTGTTGTGTACCAAACACCATCTCCTACTGTCTTTGGCTCGATGACTCCTTCTGAAGTGCCATCATCTGCTCCCAGTGGAGTTCTGGACTTGCTGTTGGATAATCTTCCCATTCACACCTTGGCGAGGATCAACAATGGCAGTGAAACTCCTCAGTGGAGAGCATGGAATTGGCTTGCAAACCACCAAAACGTCACATGGCTACCAGAATGGAGAAAGGAGCAGCTGTTTGCTCTTGCTACATTCTTCTACTCTATGGATGGAGAGAATTGGAATCCACTCATTAAGGAGCGATGGATGGAAGACACAAAGGAGGAGTGTGAGTGGTTCTCCAGCGGTGTGGGAATCTTCTACCCGGATGGAACGTTCGCTCGATACCCACCTGAGTCTGCTACGTTGCCATGCAATGGGCACGGAAAATTCACCAGCCTTTTCTTGTATAACCTTGGACTCACTGGTTTGTCAGCAAGCCTCCCTCGCGAGATTTCCTTGCTCACATCCTTGTCTTCTATATCCTTGGGTGAGATTAACAACACTGTGGATACAACCCTGGAGGAATTCTTTTGGATTCCCGAGCTGCCACAAGTATCAAGCTTGAGACGATTAGCCCTAAATGGGATTGGTTTGAAGGGAACCATTCCATCAGAGTTTGGATTGGTGACACAGTTGAATTATTTTGCGGTTCTGGCCAACTATATCAGTGGGACCATTCCATCTGAGCTTGGGCAGCTAACTCAATTGACAACTTTGACGTTGGCGGCAAACTCACTTGTGGGCACTATTCCCAGCGAGCTGGGGGCACTAAGTTCTCTTGAGACGTTGAGTGTTGGGTAAAACAGGGCAGGGTTTCGAGAAAGAGGCAAGTTTCTGACAGGTCCATTGCTAAGTGAGATAGGAACCATGTCTTCGCTCAAGTCGATTAGCTCTAATCGGAATCTGCTTACTGGTGCAATCCCCAGCGAGGTTGGAATGCTGTCATTGCTTCAGTCATTCAGGTCAAGCGAACACTTTCATTCGGGAAGCCTGCCAACGGAGATCGGGAAGGCATACCAGCTCAAGTATTTGGAAGCTTATGGAAACGCGTTATCAGGTCAAATTCCAATTGAACTGATGAACAATACCGTCCTGGAACGGTTTGACCTTGAAGACAACAACTTGTCGGGATCCCTTCCAAATGAACTGCAAGGCCTGGTGGGTGTATTGGTGATTTGGCTGGGAAAGAACAGATTCACTGGCAGCATTCCTTCAGAGCTGGCACAGTTGACGTCATTGGAACTACTGGCTTTGGATGGTTTGCCTCGATTGACTGGATCAGTTCCATCTGAGTTGGTTGTCATGACAAGCTTGGGTAAGTTGACTCTCAGGCAGTGCTGGCCTGTCTGGTACCATACCAGAGGAGTTTTGCTTCCTTCAAAATTCAACTTGCACATACTCGTGGGATACCCTTGCTATCTTGGCTTTGACTGCTCAGAGCAGCTCTGTGGGTGTGACTGTTTGTGTTCCAACGAGACAGCTAATTAGCAGTACTACAGGTTATTCTAAAACATTCGATTCTTGTACTTTCTTCCAAGACATTTAGCGACCTGTCCAATGTCCACTGATTACATTGCCACGTTCCAGCCGTTCTGTTGTGAAGCGTGCATGGAGACTGGCACCTGGCTTCATGTGGTTCCAGTGCTTCACTAATTATCTCTGCTTTCTTGAGTTTGCTGCTCTTGGCTTGGCTTGGCGTGGCATGACCGCGTGGATATACCGATGATGGAGATGAGTATAACCTTATTAGCTAGCTGGACTGGATATAAGACAGAGAGCAAACCAATCCAAGACACTGAAGGACCTCCAATGGTAATGACAGCAACAGCACCATCAATACTTTAGAGCCCAAGTCTCAATGGACAGCCGGACAACCCGAGCAAAGAGTGAAGCATGACAGTTCCGAAGATCGGTGCTCGTCCGTGAACAGTGATCTCAGCTCTGCTGGGGTTGGCGTCAGTCACCAAGGTCATAGAATGACCTCTAGAGTATAAGCCCGTCGAGCGGCTTGTATTTTATCGGCAGGAATGATAAAGGCCCTATCGCACTTACAATAAGCCCATGGAGCTGCTTGGTAATGAAAGGAATGGCGCATGGAGGCATGCGTCTCATTATCGCATTGCACGCGATTTTAACCCATGCGAATGACGCAGATGGTCCTAGGATTTCTACCCATATGTATAGAGCCTACGACCGTCGTGTATGTAGACGAACCACCTCTTCACTCGATCGCTCAACCACACGACACCACCACAAAGCTACCACAACCATCTTTTTGTGGTTGACGGCGTAACACCAGCAGCTGCGCAGATGGCATCAGACGCTTCCCTGGAAGTCATCTCTTTTGCCAAAGTGTCCCTGCACGGTCCGAGCAGCAGGTCCGACTATCAACACTACAATTTTTCTTTGGTCGGTGGATGGATGACTGCTTCCGTGGAGCCTCTTTCTCTTTCACGGAGTGACATAGGCGCTAGCGACACGAAAAGCCAACGACTGATAATGAATTGATCACCCCCTCCACACCATAGTTTCCTCTAAGCCATAGAAACCACTCCATTTTGATTATCTACCGCTCCGTCAACATTCCGCCTCGACGAATTCGACACAGTCGGTGCATCGAAACCAAACATCGTTTCGTTCTTCTTCCGTCACACCATCAAACCAAAAATGGAATGAATTCGACATTTTGGACAGATTCGAAATCCCCCACCGATGCGACGTTGGGGGATATCAAACACGACCGCGTGGATATGTGTCATGGTCACTTCGAGAGGACGCTTCGATCGTCAAACGGGCCAGATGATTCGAACCTGGACACTGCCGTGGCTTGCAAGGCACGTGCTGTCGCGCCTTGACCTGTGAATTCTCTCAGCCCCTCCGTTTCGTTCGCGATCATTTTCGTGGGTGTTCGCATTGTGCGAGACAACAAATACTAAATCCATATGCCCACTGGGTCGTCTCCATTTCCATAAATCTTTTCAACTGGTTATCCATAAATCCTTAATCGCCGTGGGCGCGTCGCGCGTTACCGCTCCCTCCTCCTCTTCCGCTCTCTCTTCCTCTTTCTCTACCCTCTGGACAGGGTCCCTCTTTCACGCGAAAAATGTGGAGAGAGCGAGGCGAGTTTCATGTGGATGTACATGGGTTGACTGTATCTCGTCAGCAGTACAGTACTAGTCGAATACATAGACTTCTACAGAGCCCTCTAAGTAATGCTCACAGGGTATAATTCAAACGTCCACCCCCATCAGTACCCCCCTAAAGCAAATCGTCTCCGGGAGACGAAATAGATACATTAAGGAGTGAGGGGGGCTAAGCTAGGCAGAGCAGCAGCTGTGGTAGTGGGTGTAGGGGGGAGCAATGAGGACGGGAGCAGGACAAAGGGGGGCAGGGGAAGGGGGGGCAAGCAGGAAAACAAGGAAGGAGAAGGGAGCAAAATTAGCAGTTCGCATTGTGTTGTTCGTGATCACATTAGAAGGGACAGAATGTTCGGCTCTGCGAACGGAGAAAATCGTTTGAATTGAATCGAATCGAACCACTCTACGATTCGAGGTGATTTGTTTACGCGGCCGGCACTGATATTAGATTAGCTTCGGATGGAGGGAGTATGTTTACATAGTATTTGTTTTTCTCCGGCCACCAGCCTCCTTAACACAAATAGCATAATCGTCCTCTTTGTTCATGGCTATGCTCAAGGTGGTAACTCTGCTATAGAGACGTTGATCAGCAATCAGACCGGCTTGATGGCGACTCGGCAGTACTAATAGACGGCCTCATCAACCGAACAGCGGCAGACGCCGCACAGCAGCAGCAAGAGGATCATCAACCAGACCAGCTTGATCAGGCAGTAAGGGATAGCATCATGAAGCGAGCAGAGGCAGAAGCTGCACAGCAGTACTAAGATGAAGAATCGGATGCCATGGAAGCTCAAGTAGAGGAGAAGAAGAAAGTTGCCAAGAAAACACATGCTAAGAGTACACCCAGCCATAGGAAAGGCAACCAAAAAAGTCAACAACAGCAGCAACTAAAACAAGATGCTATGAATGAAATCAAGCAAGGTGGAGGAAAAGAAGCATTAGAAGAAATTAGGAAAATTGTGGCAAAACAAGCTAGACTGGCAATGGCGGTTTATCTGCAAGAAAAAGAAGAAGACCTCAAGAAGGCATACAAGACCACTCCCAATCAAAACCCCACACAGAAGACACCAGAAATCAATGAAACTGGCAAAATGAGATTTTTGGCGAAAAGCTCACAGGAGGCAACAAATAGAGAAAGTGTGCCACCAGGAAATACCCACCCACGAGGAGAAACATCCCAGGGAACCACTATATGTCAGAAAAGCCAAATGTCAACCCGACCAGGAGCATACATTGAAGCGCCAGGAGAAGCCTTGCATTGTGCAAACAATTTCCGATTCTCCCTGGTGGGAGACAGTGGATCTACAAGTCAGAATGCTTTGGTGCAGATGGATGGTGCAGATGATGGTGCATTTGTTGCAAAAGCAGACACTGTGTTGCCCAGCACCAACAATGAAACCACTTGCACTACGCTAAAAGCTAGTGTAAAGATCTTTCGAGTGTTTTGAGTTTGAGAGAATGAAAGTTATGAGAGAGATTAGAAAGCTATGAAAACTAATCAACGAGAGAGATCATCATCAAAG